TTGGTATTGGATTCGCTCTTCTGTTAGCATGAACACGAATTATATTCTATTTATAAGAACCCCACCCGAACCATTCTTAAGACCACCAAGCCATGTCGAATGAGTTAGACTATAGAAGCTTTTAACGTACACCAAGGACAAATCTTTCATTCACTGGGGACTTAGATCGACCGGAAGACAAATGCATTCCGACGAGTTTTCTTTTCTATAAAATTAAATCAAATTTTATATTGGGCCGGCCCAGTATGATGGACATTCAACAACCATGTTGGGCCATTGGCCCAATATAGAAAGGTGGAGAGAATCGACGTGTCGAATCCGCAGCCAAGTCTGGTGCAGATTAATCGTCGAACGTAGAAGCCAGAATCGAAGGCCTCCTTCGCTTAAGGATAAGGCGCCTGTGGTGAGCTCAAGCATTTCAACAGCCCATCGCCTCTTATTTTACCCAAATATCCCTAACTTTCCATTACCAAATTTTTCCACCTCTCAGAAAACAAACCGATGGCCTCTCTTTCATTTGCATTCTCTCCGGCTGCCGGACGGGTGTTCGCCGCCACGGCGGCGAAGGGTGCCGGCGAAGGCAAGAAGGAAAAGGGTATTCTTGATTGGATCCTTGGAGGCATGGAGAAGGATCAGCTTCTGGAAACTGACCCTGTTCTTCAAAAGGTCGAGGGCAAGAATGGCGGCGCCAACAACGGCGGCACTGTCCGCGGCGGCAAGAAGAATTCCGTCCAAGTCCCGCCGAAGAAAAACGGCGTCTTCGGCGGTCTCTTTGCCAAGAAAGACTAACGGCGACGGCGATTCAGCCATTTTACTCATATAGTAATTCGTTCTGTAATCGGAAAGTTATGCAATTTCAGGCCATGTCTTGTTGCCTTTATGTTACTCTGATTGGTTATTCTTCAATACTATCGTTCCATTATTAATTATTGTCGGTAATTGTTCATCTTTATATATATATATACACACACACATATAATAAGAATTGGTTCAACATAAAACAGCTAAAAAAAGAACTTTAATTGCTTAAAATGAGACCCTTCTTAATTAATTTGTGAACATATTTTTTTGCCCATTATAATTAAACAAAAATAAATTGTGTTTATAACATAAACTAGTTCTTATATTTTTAAGTATAATTCTAGTTTTAAATTTCCAAATTCGAAATTGGGAATCAATGAAATCATAAAAAGAATGATTTTAGAATTTCCACTATTTGGACACAAAATCCAAAAAGGATTTTTGAAAATTCATCTCTTTTGAACGGATATTCACTAAATTATGTCAATTCGTAACATCGAAACATAAAACAGAATTCAGATTACATACCTTATAATTATAATTAATGAGTTTTTACATTGAAGAATGTTCTTTTGAAAATAAGATTTGGTCAAAAGAGATGTATTAATACAAATAATAGGCTTCAATTAGTTTAGTTTGATTTTTCTAAATGAAGTAACAATTAGTAAGATATTCATCATCTTCTTCCTGTGATGATGTTAATAAAATTACACACAAAGAAAATTGACACTGATTGGTGAAGGAAGCTTTTCAACTCAGCAATAGATCTTCTTGAACAAATATTAAATATTATATGATAGGCTTATTCCACCTACTGGCCTAAGAATCATGATAATTGATAACATCCCATCCCCCTCCCCCCAAATAATTGTCTAAGAAAAAACTGAAAAAAGCATTGCATCATAATCCACAACAATGCTAGCAGACATTTGGTGAACACACAGGCATGTATATACGCATTTTGGGAAGAAAAACTTACACGAATTGGTGTGAGCTAAGACGAAGAGTTGATGTACTTGATGCAGTCCTCCACAGCCTCTGTTCTATGTGAATCAATGGCGGAGACAGGCAGTGGTTTTGAATTGGCGATGGACACCACGGCTGGAGCAGCAGTTTGTTCATGGCGGGGTTTTCTTTTCATGCCCATCAAATGCCAAGCTCGGGTCACTTTATCAGCCAGGTGTTTCAGAAAGCTCAGCGGAGAGAATTGCAGCCCTTTAAGCGATCTAAATCTGCACTTCTGAAAAGATCCTCTGGTTTGCTCAGTTCTGTTGCTTGATTGCTCCATTGTTGTCGTCATAGAATTAGAAGAAGGTCTAAGACTAGAGAGAGAAGCTGGATGAGAGAGAGAGATTAAAATGAATTGAAATATAAAAGAAAAAGAGATGTAAACACAACTGAAAAATGCAGCCTGCCCACCCCTCCTAGCGTTCTTAAGCAAACCCAAGAAGGCCCTGTTGTTTCTTTGCATTAAATCTCTATCAACCAACCAACAGAGTAAGGGTCATTCAATATAATGGCTAACCCTTTTTAATCATACAATCTCAACTTTTAAATACTTGATCCAACAGCCAAAAACATATATAACTTTCTCCGGATGTCAAGATAAACAGAGAATATAGAAAACTCTGCACGCATGAAGTAGGTACAGGTAATGGTAGAAAGTGACATTTTGACATCAAATCATAGATGAAATCACAAATATAGCAATAATCATTTCTTCCTCTCTATAACATTTTAATGGATTAAATTGCTGGAAATGTTAAACTACTAAATATAGCTAGCAAGGTAGATTGACTCCAATATAGCACTTTAAATGAGTAAGTTTAGGAAAGAGAATATGCCAAGGAATACAGAGTTTGATTTGTCTATCTTTTCCATATTCTTCTTTCTGAAAAACAATTCTTTCTCTACCATTCACAAGTTTGGAACAGAAGGAATAGTGGAAAGCGACTAATGAATCCAAAAGGAAGCAAAGTCAATATTAAATAAGGGAAAGACAGAGAAAAAGAAATGATGAAAGGCTCAAAAGATTCTCGTTTCAGTCTTCAGATAAAGGAAAAAGGGAATTTCTAAAGCTAAAATGTTCATTTAAGAAGAAAAGGGCTTTGAGCAGAGAATTACATCTACTTAGTACATAAAGTTGTTCTTATTTTATCAAACCTTTCTGCAGCATTCTTTGGTGGCGATGCATCATAATTCCTATCAAAATATATAATATAGGCATTCATCAGACAAAAAGACTGAGTTTGTGTTCTTAGCAATGATGATAATGGTGTATAGGTGATGATGAGATAATTTAAACTTTTGCTCAGAACTCACAATAAGAGTTGAAGCTAACCTCTGATGCCGGTAGAGCCCTTAACCAGCAGAGTTTATTAGTGTGTATTCTATAGCCTGTAGCATTGAGTCGTTTTTTGACATAACAAACCGTTCTGCTCCGTAAAAAACCAGGCCGAGTTTCATCTGATGGCAGTTTTGCCAGCAGCTAAGCAAATTCAGAATTCCTTCAAGGAACCAACTTCAGATAATAGTGTCATCATTTGGCTTTTATGTACAAAATGTCTGGTTTGATTCTAAACGTGAACCATCTCTCAATGCTTTTAACTTCAAATCATTTCCCTTCCTTCTTTATCAGAATATGAAATAATAAGAAACATTAGCTCAAGCCAAGTAGATCTCGATATGCTAAGCAAGGTGCCGATATACAGGTAACATAATCCAGCTATAACTCTTATTTTACATTTGATTCGAGCACAAACATGAATATCCTACTGGAAGAGATTCAGTTCCTGTCATTTATGACAAACAAAATTTCCCCATTGCCACCAATCACATGATCCAAAAATTGTCTTCATCAATATCCTTAAACGGATGAGGAGCAAGAAGACCACTGTCCAAATTATACCACAATTCGTTTATCTTTCCCGGTGCATCCCAGTGCCTACTATTCCAAATGCCATCAAACCATAAATTTATGAGTAGCCTCAGGCCCATCCAAATCGATTGAAGAAGCCCTATTTCGATGGTTATGCCATAATTTCCAGTTACTGTGTTGTGATGAGGCTTAAAGACAAATGACAATGGCGTCCAAGGTTCTTTGTTTGGCTCCTCGAGCACCAGTTTTTCAGCTGTTGCATTTAAGTTGGCTCGAGTAAGTGCATCCTTTTCCTGTTGTAAGAGGCGTTTAAATGTTGATTAACGATTTAACAGTAAGAAGACATTGACTTACAAAAGGAAAGCAACAAATCGTGAAATAGTGAGACGATTAGTTCGAATTCTGAGACTCTATGCACCATAATCCTTTCTTAATGACGAAAAAAACAGTATAATTCCGTTCATCTGCATCTTAATTACATTGCAAATCATAAATTTCAAGATTGAACGATTTTTTTTTTCATCTCAACCAATCAGAGAGCGTTCAGCAACTTTTCCACAGTCAAACATTCGATAGTGAAGGTACCTGAAAAAGGTTGTTGAGCGCGTGCAAGAGGCAGAACTGTAGTTTTTGCCTCTCGTGATAAACTCGATAATCCTCGCTCGTCATTCTCTACGACTTAGATCTCAAATCCTCAGCCCGAACTCGCGTAAATTCCAATTTCAGAAGCAAGAAGAACTCTGAATTTAGGTTAAGAATTGGAACTGGAGCATTGGTTGCGTTGACGACGAATGCAGGCCTTCGAGAATCGTCGGAGATGGAAGTGCTCGCAATTACATTTCACCGACGGAGTACCTTCGCCATGGAGAAAGCTTATGCCGCCGCGAACGACGGACAGGAGGACGACGGTGGAGTTCGACTTCGAAAAAGTCGGCTTGTAGTCTTTGTTTCCGGAATTTGCTGTTCGATGCCGCCGGTTTCTTCTGATTTACTTCTCAGCTTGAAATCTCATTTACTTTTCAAATTCATTATTTTAATTATTATTTTTATTAAAATTAATTAAACAAGAACAATAATTTTTATTAAAAAGAATACAATATAGATTTATTTTTAAAAAAATTATAGAATAAAATTAATAAAAACTATTTTTTTAGAAAATTAAATAATAAAGTAAATGATGAAAATAGTATTTTTAATATTATATTATATTTATTTATCAAGATGGATGTTGTAAAATTACAAGCAAAATAAGGAAAATAATTTTTTTTTAAAGAAAAAATATTAAAAAATAAAATTATTTATTTAAGCCGTTATTTTCCTATTTGCCATTGATATCAGCGGGAGTGGATAACGAAGCCATCTGTAGAACCCAGAGAGCACCTCAAAGCTTCTTCAACCTCACCTACAATGGCGGCCTCCACCACGCCATCGTCGCTCTCTTTCTTCTCTTCATCGATCTTCCTTTCATCGGCCAACCAAAATTCTAAGCTCTTTTGCAATTGGAAACCCAATTCCTTTAAACCCCAATCCAAGCCCTTATCGATCTCCTCCCAGCTCGCTACTCTTCCAGTCCTCTCCTTCACCGGAGAAAAAGTAGGCGAGACCGTCCTTGACCTCAAGTCCGCTCCACCGGAAACCGCTCGCGCCGTCGTTCATCGAGCCATTATTACTGATCAACAGAACAAGCGCCGTGGGACCGCCTCGACTCTTACTAGAGCTGAGGTTAGAGGAGGCGGCAGAAAACCATACCAGCAAAAGAAAACTGGGAAGGCCCGTCGTGGTTCGATGCGTACTCCTCTCCGGCCTGGCGGAGGTGTGGTTTTCGGGCCGAAACCTAGGGATTGGTCCATTAAAATCAACAGAAAGGAGAAGAGACTGGCGATTTCGACGGCGGTGGCTAGTGCGGCGGTAAATACGATAGTGGTGGAAGATTTTGGTGACAAATTCGAGAAGCCGAAAACTAAGGAGTTCATTGCTGCGCTAAAGAGATGGGGAATCGATCCTAAGGAGAAATCCTTGTTCTTAATGACGGAGGTTTCTGATAATGTGCGACTATCCAGCCGCAATATCGGAACACTGAAGTTGTTGACGCCGAGAACACTGAATTTGTTCGATATTTTGAATTCTGATAAGTTGGTTTTGACGCCGGCGGCGGTGGATTATCTGAATGAGAGATATGGAATCAATTACGAAGAAGGAATTGAAGACGAGGAGGAAGAAGAAGAAGAATTAGAAGGCGAAGAAGGTTGATTTTCTTGCTTTGAAAACTTACATTGCAAGATTGCATACTTTAATTTTGCTTAGTTCAACATTCAAACCACGAATTAGCCTTCTTGTTCTTGACAACTTAGATTTATGCTATGGATTCTGATTCTGATACAGACGATAGTCTGCTTACTTGCAAATGGCTTCTGCATTTTCATTTTGTATAATGGATTTCTAACTCTCTTTAGTATTCTTAGAATATGATTTTAGTGAAATTGATAAGATTACAAGTGATTTATTCAAGTTGATCTTCAACATAATCATTTTAATGTCTTGTTTTGAATGATTAACAACATGATTTTGAGTGATTTTGAAAGTCTCTTTCTAATCTAAAACCACTCATCTATATTAGAAGTTCAGAGAGGGAGATTGTAATTCTTCCACCATTGATATCATCTTGTTGTTCCTTACACTGTTTCACATCAAATGCACAACACAAACACATTGAAGTCCATACAGGGAGAGAGGGAGATTGCAATTCTTCCATTGATGCCTTCTTCACTTCTGTAAACAGGGCTGGAGACCGGTGAGGATTTGGATGCAGCGGAATGATTCTGCCATGTACGAATCGGCGAAAGCTTCGGCATGTTAGCTTGCAGGCTTGAATGTATTCTTTTTTTGGTTCTTGTTCACACTCAAAGGTATCTCCTTCTTCTCTTTCCCTCCAATATCCTTGTGTATTGTCAGTAGTTGGTCTCTTCAAGAACAATCTTTGATTGTTTAGGAACTTGCATTCTGTTATGTCTTCACTGTACTTTCTTCCTAAGTTAGGAGCTTCCATTAGAACTTTACATCTCCTATGGCAGCTCCGTCGTCGATAACTTGTGAAAATGCTTAAAGAGATAGAGAACAAAGTTCTTGAAAGATCATCTAGACTTGTGGAGTAAATCTAGAGTTGAATTGAATGGTTCTTCTGATCTTAAAATGTTCTTCAACTAACCTGATCGCTGTGGAAATATGATTGTGGGGTGCCCTTTCAGCATGGGAAATTCTTTGGTAGCCCCTACATGGCTCTTTCACTTGGTTTCTCTTGTCAATTATTTAGGATTTTGTACCACCGCTAGCTGGTATTATCCGCTTTAGCCCGTTACGTATTGTCATCAGCCTCGCAATTTTAAAACGCGTCTGTTAGGAATAGGTTTCCACATTCTTATTAGGAATGTTTTGTTCCCCTCTTCAATCGATGTGGAATCTCACAATCCACCTCCATAGGGGTCCAACATCCTCTCTTGCACACCGTTCGGTGTCTAGTATTGATACCATTTGTAATAGCCCAAGCCCACACTAACCGATATTGTCCGCTTTAGCCCATTATCTATCGTCGTTAGCTTCACGATTTTAAAATGCAGTATGTTAGTGAGAAGTTTCTACGTCCTTAAAATGAATGTTTAGTTCCTTTCTCTAACCAATATAGGATCTCACATATTTATTCCTCCTTTTGGCTAGAAGAATAATGTTGCATCAGGCTGTAGTTATAGTCTAATCATTTGAAAATTAAGCCTATAAATACTACCTATACCCCCGTGGCTGGGGTTTCGGGTTCTATTACCCGAACCCAATTTGTTTTCCACTACCGAACCACTCCCTTTAAGCCATCCTCATCACCACCGCCGCCGTCCCTGACCATCGGAAAGCTGCTACCTCTTCCCAAACAGCTTCCACAACCCTATATGAATACCCATCCTTTGCCAAATATAGAATAACTAACATTTGAAGCTTATTGCAAACATTTCAACATCTTTGATATGCTACATAATATATAAAACCCCATTTTATGTACATTTTTGTTGTCTGTGGTTTGAAAACCTTAGAAACGATAAACATTCATAATAGGTTGTTGTTTGAAACCTAAACGTCGATGGTCGTTGTTCAAAAAAATTGGAATCCTTGTCGCTGGATGCTGTTTGAGGTCAGTGGTTGTTAGTCACTATTGTTAATCTCTAATAGGCAGTTTCTAGTAGGTAGTCGTTTTGGTCGGTGTTGGACGTCTTCGTTAACCGTGGATCCATCGCAAAGGACTGCATATGTGAAGTATATTTTAGGATTTGTCACAGACTAAGGTGAAGATGAAAGTGTCATGCATTTAGATTTAATTTTCAAATAAATCCCAAGAATGCATCTAAATACAAAACTCAAAGATCCAAATGCAACCTAACCCAAAAATGATACATACAATGACAAATTCGGACAAAATGACCATTAATTTTAAAAAAAAACTCAACAATAAAGAACTAATTAAAACAAAGCATCTCGAAGTTCATAACAAAACGAGAGAAAAAAACATCATATTTCAATGAGCCCAATTAGGGAAACGAATCAAAACAACGAGTGTCAAAGAAAACACTGCAAACACACGGTATCATAAACCCACCTAGAAGAACGAAATCGAACAATCGATGTCTATAGAGCTCTTTTCAAGGGTCCCTTTCTTCTTGCATTCTCCCACATCCCAACAGTATTTTAAAGACCATTTCCCCCTTTTTCTCCCCCCCACCAAAATTTATCTGTTTTTTATTTAAAAAAAAAAAAAAAAAAGAATCAGAATATTTCAATGACCGAAAGCTTGAAGTTTTGATTATGCATTTGTGGTAGCTACTTAGCTAAGGCTATAACCATTCCCAATAAATAAATAAATAAATAATAATAATAATAATAAATAAAGTTAGGGGCAAGGTTCTTTTAAAAAAACAAGTTGCAAAATAATAATAATAATAATAATAATAAATAATAATAATAATAAAATAAATAAATAAAGCACTTTTGGAAAAAGAGTGTGGCTAGTTTTTGTCACTTACTTCTCAAAAGCTTGTTGCTTTGTAATTCTTTGGTTAAGTGGTGGGGGATGAATATTCCATTTTCCCATCATAATTGCCCACCAATCATATTCTTTAAAACCCAAAAATTATTTATTAAAAAAAAAAAAATTAAATTAAAAAGATTTTTTTTTTTTTTTTTTGTTGACCCGTTCCTATTGAATTATTATTTTTCACGCTTTTGTTCCGAGTATGTTTAATGGGTTAGGTATCGGAATTGCTGGTTCGAGAATTAGGGTTTTCACGAAACATTATTGAAAATGTGCTATGATTTGTTTTTTTATGCAAAGTTAGTTTGGAGATTTAAAATAAGCAAAAATGAAAGTTTGTCGTGTTCGAGATGAATAAGAGGTTATGAGCTCGAAAATTTTGACTTTTTTTTATAGGGTTGACTATTTTAAAAGGAAAAAGGTGATAAAGGTTTGAAACTAATCACTTAAGATTAATGTTAGAAGTTCAATAGAGCGTTTACATTATGAGGGAGGTTTGGTTTGAAGGATACCCGAGTAAAAAATGGTTCATGAATGGAGAAATTCAAATTGGACTATCTATCCCAACAATGTGTAGCATCGTTTTCGGTGGTTTAATCATAAGAATTTTAAAGTTAAACGTCCTTAGCTATAAGCAATCCAAAGATCCTAAAAGAACCCGTGTTGGTTTCTGGAAATATTCCTTACTCTTAGACGAAAAACATGTCACGTGGCCATGTTGTAGGAGAATGTCGAGATCATCAGAGGTTGAATTCGAAACTAATGTTGGTCATGTTACGGGAGAATATCGAGACCATTATTTATTTTTTTAATTTCTTTATTTTTTAATTGTTGACATGAAGATTAAAAGAAAAATAGATTTTTTAATAAAAAAATGAAAAAAAAAGAACTCTTGAAAGCAAAATCAATCAAATCACATGTTTTATTACACTATTTTTACCTGTTGGCTTTGTCTGTGTCTTTTTGTATTTGAAAAGAAAGTTCAATCCAAAAGCTATTAAAAAAATAATTTCTTTTTCTTTTTAAATTAAATTAAACCCCAAATAAAAATTAAATAAATAAATAAATAAAGCTGAAAAATCCACAAAATTTGCTCAAAACTTATGAACTCACAAATGAATAACAATAATGCTTAACAGTTTATACACAATCACTGATATGACCATATGGAGAATCAAAAGATCCTTGCTTTCTTTCTTCTTCGGTTTCGGTATTTTGATCGCCTCGACACTAAAGTACGACCGTTTGTTGAGTCAACACGGTTCGAGTCGATGCTTAGTTGGTGAATGTGGACAAGAATCCTATTGAGAGAAACACATATAGCTTCTTCCTTGGATGATTCACGAGCTTGGCAGCCTTTTGGTTTAGCTCTTTGACTCGAACGGGTTGAGAGCATTTTTCATTGACTAGGCAAAGAACATTTTTTTGCTCATCTCTAAATGCTTTGTTCCGGCATGAAATTGGATGCCCCCAATGGAAAAGTCACAGTAAAAATGAAATGGACTGTGTTTTAAAATACATGACCAGATATCTCCATAAACCACGAGGAATTAAGAGTACAACTATACTAAACGATAGCTCAAAGAGGATAATAAAAGAAGAAAAAACGCTCAATTTTCAACTATCCAAGAGGAAAGTAATGGCCGGCTTGCATCGGAAAGATCATGTTTTGGGGTCCAATGAAGGCTTCATTGCCTGCAACTTTTTGCAGGTGGTGGTGCTCCGGTAGTCCAACGTCGCCGTAGGAGCTCGCCCCGAACACGGCTGAGGACATGAAAATGTCCCTGTTTGAGTGGTTGAAGACCATGGTTGCTCCGCCACTGTCGTGTTGTTGTTGGTAGCGGTGATGGTCCCATTTGAAGGTGTTTTGGGGAATGGACGACGATGAATTCGGTTGGCGGGGGAGCACAGCTGCATGCTCCGGTGATAATGACGACTTCTTGTTTACGGGCGACGGGCTTCTTGTGTCGTTGAGATTAACTGTAGTTATATCGTGGATGCTTGCTCTTCGTTTGTCTTTTCCACCCGAGAGCTGCCGAATGAAGTACTTTTGAGCATGACTAGCTACTTGTGTTGGAGTTCTCGTTACCACGACATTTCTCGAGATGTTCCTCCAATCTCCCTTACCATATTTTTTCAACCCCATCAAAAACAGCCTACAAATCGATCAATTACAA